AGTGTAATAGACCTAGCGCGCGGGTTGCACTTAGGCAGTCGCCTGGCATCCTCTGAGAACAGTAACCTGAACCCTTGTGCATTCAGGCCTCATATTTGCTATTGAGTCAGGGAGACCTTCCGCTGCTTAACCTGTTGCAGTTCACTACAGAGTACAGCACCTTCGAAGAATCCCATCACGGGATCGTACTAAGTAACTATGAAAAGGTGGTGAAACTAGGCTTTAATGCCAGTTTTTTTTTCGAGAAATACTGGCACGACTTTAGGAACTGGAAAAATGTGGTAGGAAGTTCAGGAAGTCAGGAAGACGGTGGATAGGATAGATAACGGGATCGTACCAGATGAGGAAATATTAGACCGGTCATTCTGGCACACGACGCTGTAGCCTGGTAAGGCTCTCCAAAAAGTACCATAAGAAACTTGAGTCAGACTGAGGGGTATGGGCGGCTTCGGTGATGTAAAGGATAGCGCACCCACCCATAAAGCGTTAGATGAGGGTATGGGTCCCGCTTGGGGAGGGAGAACCTGGATAGCTGCTTGGTTAGGTTGGAACTTCCAATGAACGCAGCAGCCCACTCACCGCGTTGAACGTCAGGCACAGTAAAAGTAGTGCCAAAGATAGTATGATATAGGAAGCACCGACAATATTTGATTCAGAAGTGTAGACCGGAGCAATTAAAGGCATTTTTTCAGTAACGGTCGACACATTGTTCAAGGTTCCATTCACCATGGCAGTTCAGTGCCTGGAAAGTCGCTCATCAGAAATAAGTACGAGAAGTAGCAATTGATTGATTGATTGATTGATTTATTATCGGTACAAACAATGCCAACTCAAAAATAGGAACGTGTTGCGAACTAATATTTCGATAACCCCTGAACAATGGGATGGAGAGAAGAAAAAAGAGGGGGGGAGGGGGGGGGGTGGGCGCTTCTGGGAGTGGCAGACGATAGATAGCTCGGAAGGGCAGTGGCCGCCACACTGCAAGTTCGGACCAGCTTCAACACGAACTCCGGATACCATCGTAGTAGGTCCGCCAACTGGGCGCCAGAAGTGAAGTGTAAGGAGGACGTTTTCAGTAGGCGGTATAACTAGGATGAGATTAGAACTACCTCTTATAACGGGTCGCATCCTTGCGTTACTTACTGTGAAGCTGCGAACAAGGGACCTTATCAGAGACTACTGACCAGATAATCTGGACAAGGAAAAACGCCTACAGAATGGAAGAATGCGGGTTGTCTTCAATCATTGCGGAAGTGAGTTGCACAGCGCGTGCCTACGTGCATGCTCTGAAGGTGTATTCGTTACATACGCTCTGCTAAACTACAAAACGCCGTTCTTCACTCCTCCCTGGAATTCATGAAATGAAGGACTATTCTTTGATCTATTCATAATTATTCTTCGATCGTAATCATACAAGGGGGGGGCAAAAAAAGTCATTCCGGCCGAGTCACATATGAGCGAAGTTTTCGCAGCCCAGACAGAGGAAGTGGATATGAGTACCAGGGCGGAAGATACCCAAGATCTTCCTCTATAAGCAGGAGCCGGCTGCCGCCATTCACCTTCATGTACACCAAAATATGAAGTCATCTCCAGTCGCGGCCTGAGTGGAGAACGCCTTTGGAATTCACGTGGCCTCCAAACAGCTGCGAAACTTCTTGAATGGAATCACTCATGGATAGCTACTTGGAGACCAGTACTCTTGAATGCTGCAAGACCTCAAACATCGGCAGGCTCGGAGCAACGTCGCTACGGTCCAGGACATCATCTTCACCCCATTCACCAAGGCGCGGGTTGATGGTGTGGACCGGCCGTACCTGGAATGGATGAACCGATATTTTCTTCGTGGGCCCCAGACTGAGGGTGTGCGCTGGTGGCTACATCGAGCAACTCGAGGAGAATATCCATCTTCATGTCGTCGCCCGTACCTTCTTGGT